TGTCGAATTGAGCGGAATGATGAGCATAGTGAGACTGATTGTGATCACCCAGCTTTCAGGTAAGTGACTATTCATGTCATACATATATATATATATATATGCATTATAATAACTTTCAATCTGTCGTCAATATTACACTAGATACTGTGTTTGTCAGGGCAGTTTAAAAATGAATGCACGCCAATGTCGGAACAAAAAATCGATCGATATTTTAGTACATGTTTATTAGAGAATTTCTATACATACTTTAGGTGTAAGAAGCTTAGTACTGATTTATTATTATAAGCAATAATTATTTTTTATTTTTCCATTTCATATACAATCAAAATAAACATGTGTAATTCAGAAATATATATCCGATCATGGGGACAAGTATGAAGTGTTTTTGTGTATACTGATCATTCAAGTATACCACCCGTTTTTGCTCGAGACTTTTGATAATGCAACTGGCCATGTACTTGATGATAATATCGTTTTGATGGAGAAAACTTGGGCGTCGGATTCGGGTCACGTGATTTTCATCAGACGCGAACTGGGATAGTTTTCTTCTCTCTCATCCATTTTCTGATGCAAAGTATCTACTAGAATTAATATCACTCGTCTCTAGGGAATATAAATAATCTTCCTCCATTGTATAATTAAGAATAACCTTGTTAGGTGACGTAATTTTCTGGTAAATGTATTGAGAGTTTTACTCCCTCTGTCTCTCTCTCTCACTCTCTCGTCATCACTACTGTGTCGTTTGTACTAAACGCTACTGGGTGTGATGACCACAAGAACGGTTAGGTCGCATAGCTACGAGGAATCACTGTATCTAAGCTTCTGGTGGCGAACTACGTAAATAATCACTGGGTTAGACATGTTATGAAGCCAAGTGCAGTTTGAACTCCAACCTTGCACGACCTTGCACGGTTTCCCACGCCAAGTTACAAGTTAACGAATCCCATTGGTGAACAATGGTTAATTTTAGTGACTGTGAACAGACTCAGATCTTGGGTCGACTAACTCACTTGAGTACCTGTGAGTTTTTAGTAAACAGCCATCTGTCTGTACCCTGGTAAGAAACACAAAGGCTTTTTTAAAAAGCTCTGACATATTTCGTTTAAAATCTACGCCGATGATTGATCTGTGCTGAAATGCAGGAACCTTGACGCATATTGACTGAGGGGGATAGTGTGAATTTAACAAAGTGAGTGTGTTTTCACTGCCATAGTGCCCTGCTACAGCAACCATTTTATTGAGAATATTAAACAGAACAAGCGCAATATTATGAAATGACTGTCTGAATTATTGTTGATAAAATTAAACGAACCTTTGATGCTTCATAGCCTAAAATCGTTTTTAACCTACTAACCATACATCACTCCACTGTTTTTATCCCTTTTTCAACAACAACAACAAAAATGATTATCAACGGCAACGTGATATCAATTCAGGTGTGCTCTACGCTGGAATGTATGAGAAACGGTTGTTGGCGCATCTGTTCAATCAGTCCAGGTGGGATGCACACAATCCAATTGAAAGACCCACACCAATCGAGGGGAAACCGGTCGAGGTATTTCTGAAGTGTTATCTCAACCAAATTATGGATATGGTAAGCCTCCTGGTTTCCCACAGGCACCACGCCGATCATATGATTAATCCGTCGATGGAAACATTTAAAATGCTTCATTCCCATTGGTTGAATAAAATGCCGCACGGATTGGTTGATCTGATGAACCAATCAGCTGCATAGGTGGACGTTTATTAATAACGATCAGTGCTGTGAGATAGACACCCACTTTCAGGTGGGTAATTCACAGTTTATATAAAGAATGCTCTGTCTTATGGGCATCGTTGGTGGTTTCAATCTTATGGGGGGACACTCAGTTAATAACACTTGATATGGCTTAAATAAAATTACACGTTTTTAGCTTGCATCATCCCTTCAAAATCGTAGCGTACTTGAAAGAAGATACAGAACAAATATTTGGTAGTCATTTATTTCAACAGAAGGGAATCACATGTTGACTGTTTCCCGCGCTCCATACAGTGCGGATTTTAACAGTAGCTGTTCTGTCTGAGTAGTTCTTCAGAAATGCTACTACTTCAGGGTAGTCGAATGCGCGGTGTATTATTAAGCCTATTTTATCTCGTGCACTGCGTNCGTCCAGGATGTTAATCGAAGAGAAGTCGCACTGATAATGTTGCCTAGCCTGGCTACGAAACGTCTGCGAACAACAACACTTCCAGCTCGGAGAGAACACACCAACACCAAGATCCGCATTCCAAACTAAAATCGTTCCACATTGTTTCCGATCCAAGGGAAAATTCAGGGCTATTACATGTCTTGCCTGTTGTAATTGGGCCTTTCCGTTAGCATTATTGTCTAATATTCTGGACTATTGAGTCAGGAGCGATTGTCTGCAATTTAATCTAATTTGTTGAGATAAATATCTGCACCCAAGGGCGCAGACACTTCGCTGTAAAACCTCCAATCTGGTACTGATCTATTGTATGTGGTAATGAGCCAGACAGTCATAGAAAAAGAGAAAAATCGATCGCCGCTCCAGGAGCATTGCCGCATTGATTTTTTGAATTCCTATAAGTGAAGTGTATAGATGAGCATATATATATATATATTTATTTTCAAACACTTCTGAATCTAGATCTGCATGTGGGCGGAGTACATCCAGATTTTCCAGGCCAAATCAGGTGAAGTTTCTTGGGGAATGCACAACCGGAGTCTTTGGCTAGTCAAAGCCTGACCCGCAAGGCAGCGGGATTGTGCGTGTTTGGTTTGGAATCAGGGTTTTTGGCCAACTCCCTTGGGTGAACTATCAGTGGCCCACCAACCCGGTTATAGCCCCGGATGTCGGCTCTTCGTCCTCTCNTTCTCTCACTTTGGTGGGAAAACACCTCCGTCACGAGAAGGCTGTGAATAGGGCTTCCTCAGCAGAGAATGTTTGAGACGTTTGGTCGTATGGGAGCATTTCGCGAAGTACAAGGAAAGGGTGATCAGCCTCAACTCGAGACACCCACCCCTGACCATATTGGGGCTTTTGGAAGCGTATAGATTAGTTGAGATTAAAGAACGCCCAAGTGTGTGTGAGTGATGATACATTTCAATCATTTTCACACAGTAATGTTTATGGGACTTGGTGTGAACAGGTAATCACGAACAGTTAGTGATTAATGACAGATGAGCGGAAAGCGCACTTCAAACGCTGCGTGAAATTGTTGTGCGAAAGTGCTTAAATACGTTCGACTATAGATCGTGGACTATAGGTTCAATACTATAGACCGTCCTTCCGTCAGCTTTCACTTCCACACACAATGCATCCAGTCAAGAAGCATCAGATGTGAGTTGCTCTCTCTCTCTCTGTGTCTTGATAGAACTCATCACTAGTCCACATTCTTCGACTTCCATTTCAAATTGTTAGATACACAACGAAGTTGTTCGTCTCAAAGACGTTTGCAGTATGCGAGTGCGAATAGCCTAGTTCGATACATTCTTCCACGATGATTTTGTACTTCAATCTCACAAGTTCACTCAACTGCTGGACCACCAAGACTCGGTGGTAGCGTTTCAGAAATAGAAAACCCTTATCTTCCGGTCAGAAGTTTGAATAAGGATGTCAAGAACATTAAATCACTTAACCTGTCTTGCAGAATCCGGAACTTGACTCCCAACACTACCGGTCATCTACCACGTTGAAGTATGTTAAATAAGACTGACAGATAGATAGAATATCAATCTCATCAAGTCTATCCGATACCATTGATTGACATAGGTTCAGTTATTTCATCATTTTTTGAAATCCTGTTCACAAGAAAAGATTAATAAAATCTTCATCGGAGGAGAGGCTCGGGACAATACGCGAATGTCAGTTGACATTTTCCTTCAGCCACACTCTTCACGGACACAATCAACCGGTCAACCAGAACTAGGGGATTCGAAAGGGACATGCACAGTCCGTGTTTAATTTTCGATTGTCTTTCGGAGAGTTGATAAGATGTCGACATATTATCTCGCTCTCTTAATTCATCTGAACTTTTTGACGAATTAGAATGAGGAGAATCAAGTCAGTCGGTTGAACACAGGATTGTTCAGGTATAGCGAAATGAATCCGGAGGAGTTGAAAGGGGAAAATTCGACATCAGACTGTGAATGTGACCGAGGCATTACGCTCTTTGTATATAGGGTTCGCTATGGACGACTATCAAGGCAGGTTTGCTGCCGCAGTGGAATCGATAGGAATTGTTCTTTGTGCTCAAAATCCATTTGCGTGGGCATTGAAGCTCCCCTGGTCCACCCCATATTCCGAGGAGTCTGCACGATCGAAGGACCAGACAAATAACTGGTGGATGCCACATGCCTCTGTAAGTTGGACGGGTAAATTCGAATGTGAAAAGATCAGTGCTCTGCCGGTGTGGCCTCGTAGCTCAACTGGTAGAGCATGCGCGTACAAAGAGTAGGCGGCGTCCATGCCTGGTGTGTTCGAATCCCACCGAGGCTACTGAACTTTTCACAATCGACTAACAAACTTCAAATCTGCCAAACAACTATTTGAACAAATAATTATGTGATCATTAAGAATCCCATATTCGAAATTACCCCCAAATCAGCTTTGGTGTTTAATTTTCCCGTTGCCAAAATATATCTTATGTTTGAGTACTGATATCCGTTTTCAATGAGCATTTACATGCCTATCCTATGGCTCGTTCTCGATGAATTCACTGTACTTTTCCTTTTTTCATCAGGATGAAAAAAACCAGGTCCTCTCGACCATTATTTGGCTTGATTTGGTGAGTTTATGAGCTGGTTTGCGTCTTATGCAACCGGTTCACATGTGTCGCTCTGAGCTTGTATCCAATTGAGGACACTGTTTTCTATTCAATCTATCAATTGTACCGGACCACTTAATATTAGAGTTTGCAGTCACAAAATAGTTGGCACATTCCGTTGCTCGTCAGAATTTGTCTTAGCCATGAAACCGATCGGTCAGTGGCACAATTTTCTTGCACCTGGTAAAAATTTGGTTTCCTCGTACGGACTGCTCCCGACACCCACGTGTACCATGGTCATTGGATTGTTTTTGCCCATATAAAAGAAGTAACTCGAATGACAGTTGGCTTTATTGATTGGCAGCATCGATTGAACACTCACTCACATCGGATGTCACGTGACTGGTCGGTCTTGCTGCCGACCCTACCAATATTTATAGGCCTAATGATTATTGATTTTTATTTCACCCGTTGACCCTGTAAATCGTGTTCACACAATTACAGTCAGCCCGCACTGCAGTTCAGTGACTTGTGTTGTTCACAAACCAGGGCAGTACAGTTACAGTACAATTGTTCCAACTTTACTAGGATTCATCATTATTACAATTACACAGATCTACTACATAAGGGGACTCAAACTCGTTTATGCGGAAATAATATGATAACTTTTACTTTATTTCACTGAACACAATAATACACTCAAATCCCGGAAGGAGAATGTACGGCTGATCTGAGACTATCTGGAGTGTGGGAGTCTAGGGGGAAGTGCACAGTTCACCAGAGGTTTCCATAAACGAAAACGGCTTGCTCAGTCGTGGTGGAATCCTAACTTAGGACGTTGGATTTATTCAATCACTCTCCTGGTTCCAGCACATAGTGAACTGTATTCCCGAAACCGGTTCAGTTGGATGAAAAATGGTTCTGCTGATCTACTCAAAACGAATCCAGTATGATTGTTCATAACTGGACCATAGTAACTGCTTCACTTGAGCGACATCCTTAATTCCCTACTTCAACAAATCTCCTATCCACTTTTCCCATACACTTTCGACAGGTTTCAGTGGAGAGAAACCTGTGGTCTCTGGCTGTTGTTGTTGTTGTTGTTGATATTTTTTTGAAATGAAGGTGAAGCGAGTACAGGATTGGGTAATTTGGGGGCACTAAAATGCCTGTGCTTCACGCATCATTATTGATGGAGTATTTTGGTTGAAATAATTCAAACACTTGACTGTTAGAGAGTAGAGTAATAATCAAGTTCTATTCCGTCGTTTCATTTCGTTATCTGTCACATGGTAGATTGAATAAATGTAGAAGAAGATCGACAACTCCCCCTATGAATTTCCTCAGACATAAAAATTCAACTTCCAGATTTAATCGCAACATGTCACGAAATATTATACTCACAGGCTCTACAATACGTAATAATGAATTTCGATTTGGAGTGACTATCCTTCAGATTTAATGCTAACGCACAAACTCCAGTTTCTGCAGTCTCCCCTCAGTACCGTCGAGCTCAAACGAACTACCTACCTACCTACCTGCATAACTAACTAACTAACTAAATATGATTGAAGACCGCACGTGAACAAAATTCTATTTGTATTTCTGGTCAGCTCCGGTGTGAGCTGATTGACATAGTGGTAACCGATCTACAGCATGCCAGGGGTTCGAAGTTTAACCCTCGGATGAGGCGTTGGAACCGTACTGGTGATGAGCTCTAGTGCGAGGGTAACTCGCGTGAAATGCTCCCTGACTCGACGGTTAATTGGAAGAACTGTGAGTTCAAGTCAGAATCATTTATCTAACACCAATGTTCACGAGTGACTGTGAGTTAATTGTGAATTTTCACATTCGATCGATTTATTAAATAACCATCAACCGAACTGAGAATTAAATCCCGGCGAAGCACCGATAAGCCATTCACTTGACTATCCACGGTCAGCTGATGAGACTACAGTTCATTTTGTTTCTATCCTGCGCGCTGATATTCATTAGTCAACAAGATTGAAACGGCCCTCCGATACAGGTTATCTCATCGGAATAAGTTACCCTTGTTCTGTACACATACAGTCGTTTTAGATCCTCAAATAGTCCCTTATAACAAAAAACGAGATTTTGAATGCTTCCGGTCGATAAACTGAGTGGGATGAGCTTCTACCAAAGTAAGATGGGACACCCAAAGACGAATCTTTTCATGTGCCCTGTACAGTCACGTGATAGCACTCTAGTATATGTGAGGTCTGGGATTTGATCCTCAGTTGAATCAGTGAATTCACACACTTTTGATGAGACTTGACAAGGTCGAAAACAATGTACAATGCTTTCCTGATTTGATTTTATAATTCACATTATCCTTTACTGTGCACGCTATGAAGTTTATTCTGACTCGGGTGCCAATCAACGACCGTTCGGCAATCGGTCAATTTTTCTATTTAAAAAAAACTTTATATGCACTCTCATCTTGTTTGTTGTTGTTGCCGATTTATTACTCCAAATTCAGAAGTGGCGCGATTATCATTTCCAGTGGAACAAATCGGAGTACGCTAATATCAATCAGATTAACGTGCCTCCCTCAAGGCTGTGGAAACCGGATATTATTCTGTATAATAGGTAAGTAAGCTGGATGAAAGCTATGCAGAATTTTTCTTTTCAACGACTCAAAGTACTGATTGTTCGGATTTCTCTATTTTTGGCGGACATTTGAGAAACCATAGTGGAAATTATACAACCTTTGGAACCCCCGGGAGTACTTGTAACCAAACGCATGGACATGAACTCAAGGCTGTTCCCAGGGTACACCTTACCAATTATGTTTTGGGGTTGCAATGGCAATTTGGATCAGCTCACATCTAACCCATCTGACAAACAGACTGATGGATCGAAATTCTTTGAGTTACATTCATAATCNAGATTTGCAAATGTTCAACCCACGCTATAGCACACAGTGACTTGAACGGAGTGAGAAGTTGAAGCCCGGTTTCTGTGAGCTGAAATTCCGTGCTTAAACGATAACAAACCCAGTCAAGTTAAGACAAAAATCGCTTTATTCATCCTAATGGATGGATTCTCAGCTTCTTGTACACACCAGGATCATTTATCATCGCATAAAGTCACAAAGAGAAAGTGAAATACAGCATTGGGAAATTCAACGAAATGTGAAA